TCCAAAAACTTGATGACGTCAGCTCAAAAGTTTGCAGAATAAATCCTATCTAAAATGTACAAAATATGATGCGTCTGTACTTGTGATATATCACTCCATTCATATTTTTTTGGATTTGCATATACAGGGTGACTCAAAAAAATTAATGAATGCGCAAAATTTATTTTACTGATTTACTCAGGAACTACAAAACCGAATGCTTTGAAATCTTGAAGATGTTTTAAAATTATCATAAGCATGGTAAATTTTTAATCAAAATGTATTTGGTCGTCCCCTCCTAAAAAATTTATGACGTCACCACAAAATTTTGCTGAATAAATCCTATCTAAAATGTACAAAATATGGTGAATCTCTTCTTGTGATTTATCATTCCATTCAAATTTTTTCGATTTGCATACACAGGGTGACCGAAAATAATTAATGAATGCGTCAATTTATTTTATTGATTTAATCAGGAATTACAGAACCGAATGCTTTGAAATCTTGGAGATGTTTTAATGTTATCATAAGCATGGTAAATTGTTTATCAAAATGTATTTGCTCATCCCCCCTAAAAAATTAATGACGTCATCCCAAAATTTTGCTGAACAAATCCTATCTAAAATGTACAAAATATGATGAGTCTGTACTTGTGATTTATCATTCCATTCAAATTTTTTCGATTTGCATATACAGAGTGACTCAAAAAATTAATGAATGCGTGAATTTATTTTATTGAGTTAATCAGGAACTACAAAACCGAATGCTTTGAAACATAGGAGATGTATTAAAGTTATCATAAGCACGTTAACTTTTTTATCAAAATGTATTTGCTAATCCCCCTCAAAAAATTTGATGACGTCAGCTCGAAAGTTTGCCGAATAAATCCTATCTAAAGCGTAAAAATATGATGAGTCTGTACTTGTGATTTATCACTTCATTCATATTTTTTAGATTTTCTTAAGAGGTGGCTCAAAAAAATTAATGAAGTCAATTTATTTTATTGATTAAATTAAAGGCAACACTTATTATTAGTATTACATTGGACCAACCCAATTTGGTAGACACAAAATTTTTTAAAGTAAAAACTCGGTTGAAACATAAGGGTAGCACGCTTATTTATTTACATCGACTTTAACATTACAGACGTGTACGCTGTCTAGTTTCCGCGAATGTGGACTAGACATGTTTATAATCAACCAATTGTGAATTCCACCGTCAAAAATTTAAATAAAACTCAATGTTTTATATAATAAGCGGAAGTCGAAGCAATAAAACCGATGGTCGTTTTGTTTACAGTTTCTCTGTTTGACTCTCATTTATGCTGTTACGCTTGTCATCTTAAATTAAGAATGTTTATACATAAACGATTTTCAGTTGCCTCTCATATTACTAGACAGCGGATTTCTATCGGGCTACGTCACGATTATAGGTGGGGACGCGCTGGATTGCCGGGACTCAATAGCGGGCGATAGATAATCACTGAATTTAATCGGTACTAATTCCATAAATATAATTAACGATTTATTAATCAAACGGCTAAGTAAATGAGAACGGGAATTAACAGCAGAGTGCAACGAAACAGCGTTATTCTAATCTCAAATAAGCGAAGTGCAGTCCGTAATCGCAATGAATTCGCATCCCGTACGAGCCGTAACGAGTTTGGCCTTGCCTAGCCCGACAGAAATCCGCTCTCCACATATTACACACCGGCGCCGTATACGTGAGTAAATTATTTCGTTATTTTATTGATTATAACAAATCAATATTCAAAAATTTGGAAATACAATAATTTTATTCTTAGTATTACAGTACATCTATCCCAACTGATATACGTGTCCTTGCAAAAATGTTGATGACGTCATCGCAATTTTTTTTTAAATTCCCACTACAAAAATGTAATGAGAAAAAAATACAGTAGGCATGCAGTCGTCAAGTTTCCGACAGCGAGGGAAGTTGACGACAATTTTTTGAAATATGTTCCATTTTCGACCAACGTTGCGGTGAGTTTCACAATTATTATTCTTATTAATATTATTATATTATGCCGTGTAATCTATGCTGTACATAACTTTATAAAAAGTGTTATTTTAGTTTTCTTTGATTATTACCAAAGAATGCCACAGACGGAAACCTAAAATTACAATTTTAGCTTCGCTTTTTACTTCCTACGCGTAAGCTAAAGATATACTGTAATCGAGTCCTTAGGGTGACTGATTGCTTTCATATTTTCTCGATGGGTCATGACCCCTGAGTACGAGAAAATGTATCTCCGTTTTCCATCTGTCTGTCTGTCTGTCTGTCTGTCTATCTGTCTGTCTGTCTGTCTGTCTGTCTGTCTGTCCGCCGTCCATGACGACTGATTGAGAGATACAGTTCTGAAAGCGAGGGAAGTACTGTCTCAACCCTTTAGACCAATTTTTTTCACATTGACAAAGCAACACTTTCTACAGACCGCAAAGTCATTCAATGTTTGTTAGTGGTACAATTTATTTAAATCATAATGTCTTCATTAAAGTCAAAATATACCACAAATTAATGCAAAATACGTCGAATAATTTTAATAGGAGTATTAGTGGAAAATTTGTGATACATTGCCTGGCAGATCTTTAAACAAAATCTAACAATTATTGAAAAAAATGGGTATCAATTCGACACCACATAGGATAATGCGTGTATGTTGGGTTGCATATTCATGCTCCAATGGATTGATTTGGACTTTTAAAAACTGAACAGAAGATCACGTAAGATTCGTAATAATTGAGGAGTAGGCCATGTCAACGATGATATTTACAGTAAAATTTTTGATTAAATTTTTTTAAAAAGGTCAATAACGTAAATTTTCTGTTCTTTAAACTTGTAATTATTACAATACCTTAACATGAAGACAGTAGTGCTAAATGTCAATGGTAATATCTTTGACATATCCTAAATCTCGATTAGATTTTATGTTCAGTTTTTAAAAGTCCAAGTCAATCCATTACAAGCAGGTATGCGACCAACTTAACAATGATCCTATGTTCCGAGAAAAAAAAAGACTCACGGTATATTTATTCCTTTGGGTGTCCACACAACAATATAAACTAGTAAAATACCTGCAACAAGCATTTGTCCCTGGATTTGAAAGTAGTAATCATGATTTTTTCAATTCGCCACATGTCAACGTACAAAATTTGATAATTTTTTTAGTAGGTAACGTTTACTTTATAATTTTCAGTTTTTGCATTAGGTTCGACAGAATGTATACAGGCTGATTCATTCGAAAAATCAACTATGTACAATTAGACAAATGCATTCAAAACTGTAAATTTCTAGACATTTACGGAACACTAACAGAAGATGAATATCTAATATTGAATTCTCTCTCTACGCTCTTGTGGAGTTAAAGAAGGACAAAGGTAAGGGGAGTGATCTTAGTTCTGTTAATTCTATAAGGTGATAACGTTCTCGAGTCTAATAATAATTTGTGAAAACAGCAAATAATCGAAAGAAATATCAATAAACATTGTTACGAAATAAACCCATACGGCGTCCCGGTACGACGCTTATGGGCCGTCGAGAACTTTCTGGTCGTACGCCGATGATGATTCATCACCGGTTCCCATAAAGACAGTCTGGGGCCGGCTACCGGAACGAAGAAGTCAAGTCCAGCGAGGGAGCGAATTCAAGTTAGACCACGAAGTTATTTTGTACATAGGCGCTGTAATAGTTAGTCGTATAAATTCGAGTTAGTAAAAATAAATTGTTGAGTTTTATCCACGTCGATTTTTAAATGCCCGTGCATCGTAACAATATCTTTTTTTTTTGACCAAAACATAATAGTAACATGAAGTAATAGATAAGAAACGGCTAATATTGCTCCTAGAGGTCGATCCGGAGACGAGAGCTATCGCAACAAGAAGCTCAAAGAACCGATTAAACATAGTCAGATTCAGTAATATGGATGGCGGAATTACTACTAAAGAATCTAGAATAAATCAATTTAAAGCTGAACAAACTAGAACAATTTTATGAAAAATTGGAAAGAAACCTGCAAGTAATCGAAAAACCATAAACTAAAAATCAAGGTAAAACAACAAAAAGAATGGATTTACAAACTAGAAAGACACTTCAGAAAGATAACGAAACAAAAGGTAAGTTCTTGAGCAAACTAAAAGAGATAACAACTATAATAGAATAGATTGAAATGAATAACTAAACAGATAATGGAGAAACAAGAAGAATGGGAAAAAAAGGAGATAACAGGGACCGATCATTGTAAGTTGAAGTATCCACTTTAGCACTAAGAAACCAAATATTCACAAACACTAAGAAACGAACAACGCGGCATTTGGATCGAAGAATGGATCTCAAAGAAAATAATGGAACAACGGAATGAGATGCTAAATATAACGACAGAAGAAAAAGAAAACAAGACTTCCCTTGCCTACAACAAATTAATAGTGAACGGTAACAAATTCACCTTACAATACATGAAAGAAACACACGCGGGACTAATTAGTAGACCAAAATAAGTGTCCGATTTCTAAAATATTCGATTTTTTTGGACAAAAGGAAAAATTTATTTTTAATGAAGAAATATTATTATTATCACAAATGTAACATCTTATAATAAGTTCTGATAAACTTATGATAAACAATTTAAATTAGCTGTTTAAAAAAATACAGATATTATGGACAAAACAGCAATATTTAAAATACGATCAAAGACAACCATGAATATTTGAAGATTTGTCTTTGACAAAATTTTTTCGTGTCAGATTATCGTCAACTTGAAAATTCAACAACCAAAACCGAATTTTCAAAAATCCATGACCGCTTTTAATCGTGTTTTTATTGCCCTTTCGGTAGAATATATGAAGCTTTCTCTAATTCTGGTGTGACACCCAGCGTACACTCCTTCTGAAACGCCATGTTCCAAAAAGTAGATCACGCGCAATAAAATGTAGACTTCAACGTACTCAAACCCGATGCAAAAATGAATAACGGTAAATTTTAAAAATGTCTAACTAATTTCTTACCTCAGAAGTAGGTTGCAAAAATAGAAGAGTGTTTTTATTATTTCACCTTTAACTAACTCTAAAATTTCTCGTATCTCTCGTATCGATAATACGTTTTCTTTGATATTTGTCTGTTATCTTTGTTTATCGTTTAAAGGTGGCTAACTTTAATTAATACATATCTCATATGATGTTAAAAATATAAACAGTTTGTTCGCAAGGAGCTGATAACGATAAGCATAGGTCATAGATTTGTACTTCATCAATTTTCTCCTGTTTTATTGGTGTAGCTAACCCAAATCACAAAACAAAGAACCCATCGCAATAAATCACAACGAGGGTAAGTGTACCACTTTACGGGTAACTAACTAATGATTTCCAATACTTACAGTTTTCAGAACAATCACCATACATAAACAGAATGTTTCGCAGATTTAGTAGTCTGCCAAGGCGCCACCAATCAGACCAGACTGATATAAACCTACTTTTACTAGGCGAAACTGGCGTGGGAAAATCTACTTTTATCAACTCGATATCAAACTATTTCAAATACCCAACTTTCAGAGCAGCCTATGAAGGCAAAATCGACGTGTTAATACCAGTCTGCTTAAACTTGTCAAACGGTAATAAAGTATATGGCCGCCTGGACGAAGACGAAAGCCACGAATATGGCCAATCTGCGACACAGTTGGTTAAAGTTTACTCATTCCCGATACAAATAAACAACAGAGTATTAAATTTGAAAATAGTCGATACTCCAGGAGTTGGAGATCCTAGAGGAATCGAACAGGACAATATCCACATAGACAACATCCTATCATACTTATCAACATTGAAGAAACTCCACGGAATTTGTTTTGTGATGAAAGCAAACGCAACCAGATTTACGAGCTTTGTCGAGTACTGTTTAAAACAAATATTGACTCGCCTGGAAAAAAGCGCAAGTGAAAACATTATTTTTATTACTACGTACAGCAAGAATAGTCAGTACAGCGCAGGAGAAGCTAAATATCATTGCTTGCAGCCGCTGATTCGCAGTATCAAAGCTAAACCACCACACGTTGATATTCCTTTAAACGAGAACAACGTCTTTGCTTTAGACAACGAGGCGTTTAAAGCACTACTGGAAATTCAAGAAGGACAGAAGTTCAGTCCGTATGAAATTAGGTGCTTTGCTGAAAGTTGGAAGGTCTCTTTGGAAGAATGTCGTCGGTTAGTTAAAATAAATATTATCAAAATTGATAATTTTCCGAACTTATTAATACTCGTAGTGTTGGGTTTCAGATTATTAATTTATGTTGCTGGAGATGGTAGAATTCCTCCACTAATGCCCCACAATGTCGAAAATACAATGGCTGTTAACGAAGCACGCTTTCTAATTGAACAACTGGCAACTCCGCTTGCCGAAATATCTGAGCTAATACAAGACAATTTGCTTCAGCTCGATCGTCACAAAATGAACTTGAGTGTTGAAAATCAAAGTCTGAATGAACTGAAACAAAAACTCTACATACCTTGTGTAGACCTAGAGGTGAAAGTGTTAAACCAACCCATTACAGTTTGTACGAATACCAAATGCGCGGAAGTGCTTAAGGTAAGCTTCACATCTTAAAAATATAATAAATTCATGATGTGATTGAAGGTCGACAACGTCACCCAATGGCATTACCAGCAAATATGCCACGAACCCTGTTTCCTGGAAGGAGTTCCAAGAGAAATGGTCGGAGACCCAGGACTTACCAATTGCGTAGCAATGAACTTTGGCAATTCTTGCATAGAGTGTGGTTGTAACTGGAGACATCACATGCACATATACAAAACCACCGAAAAAATACAGGTCCAAAAAGAAGACCAAAAGGTACGACATGCTATTAAAGATAAAGAAGACGCTCGTGTTCGTATCCAAAAACTGATGAAAAAGTTGAACAGACGGATGAAAGAATTGGAAAATGAGAGCCAAGTTATTTCTGAAAGTATTGCTAAGTTTTCTTGGTTTCTGCAGGAGCACGCTTTAACGCCGTTTAACGATGCGTATGGAGATTATATTCAACAGCTCATCACAAAGTAATATTTTGTGTAAAATTTTCTTGAAGTCAGTTTGTTCTTTTTTCAGTGAGAAATTTCTTGGGAAGTGCGGTGACCCGTCAGTAACCGCGAAACTTGAAAAGTTATTGGGCAAACACCAAAATTTGCAGAAAATGTTTCAGAAAGGAGCACAGATGTCTGATTTCATGTCTGTGCAGCACGATCTAAGTGTTGAGGGAATTAAACGAAGTATAAGTCAATTATACAAACTAAAACATATGGGACGAAAAATCGAAGAACTTATTTGGAAATCGACAGGTTCTGGCGATAGGAATATACAGCAGAAATTCAAGTGTGTGGTTTCGAAAAGAAATAATTCTAGACGTGATAATAATCAAGTTGGAGAAACTTCTACAAGTGAATACTATTTTAGTACTCAATCTTCTAGAAGTCGATCTTATGACTCTAACAAAACTGATTCAAGTGGGTATAGTTTTAGTATCTCTACAGGATACTCGTCTGATAGCTCAAGCGCAGATAGCAGTCAGTCGTCTTGGACAGATATAGATGACGACGAAGACTTTAGTAATTCAGACGAATCACTCGAAGGAAATGTTGAAAGAAAACCCACTTCGGGTGACAAAATATCTGAAAAGTCTGGAGGTGAATATTTTTTTAATGTGGGTAAATATTCGATAGATGAACTTAACAGACTAAGACTAAATTAACCATCTGAGATACTGTTTAATTTTCTCGGAGACCTCTGCAAATTATGGAAAATGATTTATGTCTAAATAAACTATTGTTTATAAATGATTAACTTTTAATTTTATTTGACACCAAAACAAAATAAACATGTAACAGATTATGATTTCATTATTTAGTCACCATAAAGCCGTCATAACATCCAAAAATTCTTCAGCTTTGTCCTCCTTGTTGGCCACTTGACTGACCTTGTTGGCCACTTGACTGACCCTGAGAATTTCCTTGAGAGCCTCCATTCATGCTTGGTGGAGGACCCATTGGTGGTCCCCCAGATGGTGGTTGCTGTTGGGCAATGGCCACAGCGTTGTTGTCAACCTAAATTTTCCAAAATTTGAGCGCCAAAAATATTAAAAAATAATGACTTACCAATACAGTTGCTAAGACTAGGAGAGCACAGATGATGGTAGTGTTCTTCATGTTGATTTCTGATGTATTTTCAAAGCTTGGATCTGCTTTTATACGTACAAATTACAACAAGTCTCTATGGGACCTTCAATTAAATAATTATCGCATTGTCTGGTGGTGTTTGGGTAACAGTACGTAATCAAACATGAGTAATTTTGAACGCTATGTGAGCAGGTGGCAATTCGTGAGAATATAAATTCGTTTTGTTATTTTACGACAAATTTTAGGCAAATATTTCTTTTAGAACGAAAATTGAATAGTGTGTAATTACAAAGCGCTTTAAAAAAATATCGCTGTATATTTGTACAATTGGTCACCAAGTAAACTAGAGCAAAACTGACAAACTGACTTTCCACAAATATTTTATTTGACAAAACGGCTGAAAAAAATCGACTTTTACAAAAATTCTTTAATAAAACCGAAAAAACTATAAATTGATGAAAATTGTGACAATTGGAAGAATACAATTCTACTGTCTTATAGTATTAACAAATATCTATATTAAAACAATGCTTTTTGTATATCGGCTATCAAGAAAGATTTGTTTTTATATTTTGATCGCCTTTAATCGATACACGTTGAACATGCAAAAAATTAAACGTACAAATATAAAGTAAATTTTGGAATGGTACCACGAAAAAATTGTTTGTATTGGCATGGCTAAACAGTGTTTTAATAAGTAGTCAAATTGAACAGTTCAGGAAAAGTAGCGGCGATTTGCAAGCACTACATAAATCATTTACCTTAACGTTGTTTGCCAGTCTAGGAGAAAATTCCCAGAAACTATCAAATATAACGATAAAATCTGTTACAAGGGATTTTTTTGTTTTTTTTTTAATAAAAAACAGAGTAAATCACGCTAATTAAATACAGGGCTTTTATAAATAATTCTAAGAGCGTAGTTGGTCATGGATTTCAAAAATCCCGCTTCGCTGAAATTATGCCCGTAATTATGCATCATTAGGACAGCTTTCACTTGTCACATTAACGTCTAATGTCATTTGTAATCTGCCATTTAAAGTCGTCGTTTTTATTGTTTGAATGTTTTTCAAGTGCTAATTACAGTAATTTGTTTTTATGCTAGGAAGCGCAGACTGTGAAAATGGTTTATTCTCTTGAACAAGACACTTTCATCTTGTTATCGCAATGCGACTTCATAAACGAAGAGTATGTGTATTCTGTAACCGCCTGTAAGCAAGAATATCTGGCCAAATTCCGTGATTTAATAATTCAAGAAACATCGTTAAAGGCCCATATTAAAGATGTAATCAACAGATTCGTTCGAACTGGAATTATCAACAAAGAGAAATCTCGTTCATCTGAGGAAATTGTTGATGATTTGAGACGACTTGAGCAGAATTGAACAATTGAACAACGGGTCTAAAGTATTGACGAAAGAATGTTTTTGAAATTAAAAAGGGAGTGAACATGTGCCTTGAACAGAATGATGAACATTTTCAATATTTACGGTGATGTTTAACCGCAATAAATTTGTTTCTTTTTATTATAATGAATTAGTTTTATAAAAAAAATGTGAAGCGTTTAGACAACCAGTTATACACATGTGTTTGTTCTATGTGTGATTTTTGTTATGCATCCTTGTACACTTAGTACAGTTAAATCTGAGAGGCGGCACGTTTACATGACCTACTGCGACCCTATTATCATTTGTAGAAACCCTGTATATGATGTTACATCTGAAAAACCTGAAATCTGATTATTTGAAAATTAAAAATATTTAGATTCTTTTATAAATATAAGTATGCAGTAAGACTCAAAGCGCGTTATATTTGTGTATGACGATTTGCGCTAATAAAAATTTCAAGAAAATTGCAACAACTAACTACTAAAGTCCAAAACGACAAAAATCTGTGTAGTTGAAAATAATTTTAATCTTTGACATATTTTCTTCCTTCTTTCTTTATATCCAATGCATTAGGTAAGAAAGGAAAACCAATGGTGGACCACCTTAAAAGCTTCGAGGAAAAAGCATACTTAAGTATTGAAAAAAGCAGAAGAATGGACAACTATTTCCATGCCACATCAAAAAATTTTCGTTGAATTCATACTAATTTTGTACATTGATTTTGCCTTTTTACTTCCCGAGCGTAAGCAAAGGAAGTATTGTAATCGAATCCGTCGGCCGACTCTCTACTTATACGTTTTCTCGATCTTTCATGACCCCTAGAAGACAAGGAAATAGGTCTCCCATTTCCGTCTGTCTGTCCGTCTGTCCGTCTGTCAGTCTGTCCGTCTGTCTGTCCGTATTGCATCATTAACTAATTGTTAGACAAAAGAAATTATTAACTATATGATACTATATTATATAAGTCGTAATGGTCAAAATATTATAAAGAAACTCTGATTTCTATAAACGCTGGCAGACATCCCCCCAAAATAAGTTGAAAATGACATGACATATTTGAAATGACCCTGAAATTTTATCCGCTTAGTAGTTCAGAAATTATTTTTCTAATAATATTGCCAACGACTAGTAGAAAGCGAATCATTTACAACCGGAAACTTAAAATTTATTTTTGTATATTCTAGGATTTATGAAATGTCAAGAAAAGATGAAACTAGCGTAGCCATTCGTCCGGCTTATCAGGAAGTAAACATTATTAATTTGTGTGTTTTTTTTTCGGTGGAATGACACATCCCAGAGTGCACAGTAATTTATTTGAATTGTGAATCAGACTTTATATCTTTCAATGTTTAATTGAAAAGTGTAAAGTAGACTTCCAAGTAAATTAAAATATCACGATTTTTTATTACTGGTCAATTTTACATAATAGTAGCTTGTCTAAAAACGGCTGCCTTATGTAATTACCGCACAAACGATTACATCACATCTACTAATTAACCAAAGTACAAACGAGTGATAAGTGATAAGTAACTGATCAGAATCACTTGCGGAACCTATATTTAATAGATTATACAGAACCTTAAATTTATTTCCTTAAATTTTGAAACGTACGCCGTTTTTTAATTTTTTCTTAATATTCTTCATAAAATAACAACTTTCCGATTGCAGTTACAAAACGCATAAGTCGTAAAAAAATTTCAATAACACAATTAGACAAAATTTAAGGAAATTGAAAAATTTTGACAAACAAAATCTTAAATTTTGATTTGAAACAACGCTATGTTGCTTTTATTCCATTTATTCATCTGTGCGGAATGTGTAATTTTTCATTAGGTCCATTCTTTAATTGGGTACTTCTAGCATATATACCCTCCTTTAAAAAAAAAAAATCAATTAGGCCAATATATTGTTTCGAAATAAACCCATACGCCGCCCCGGTACGACCCCTATGGGTTTTCCCAAGGGCTATCTAGTATGCACGGCGACGGCGGGGATCATCGGTAACGGCGACTGAGCGGCGTTCGCTAAAGAAAAGTCTGGAAGCGAAAGTCGCGATGGGTATTCGAGCAAAGAAAAAGGAAGAAAGTCTGGGTTTAGATAAAGGCCACCGTCGAGTATTATTCAGTCAATTCAGTGAAGAGAGAATGCAGTCAAATATGTAATGATATATTAAAGAAATTATGTATAAATCATCTAATTTTCTAACACAAAAATTGTTTTTATTGTAAGACTTGCTTACATTCGTAATGAATAAAAGACAATTTAGAAAAATAAATGAATTTGAAATTGACAGAAAGATTCGAAAAAGCTTTCAAGAAATTACCAACATTAAACAACAAAAACATTTTAAACCTTATGTGTGAGATATCGGTTACGTGAAACTCGTGGCAAATATTACACAAACATTTTTGTAAAGTGAGTGATTGAAAATCAAGGCGGATTCATTAACCACAAGTAGACTGTCATTTTATAAAATTTAATAAATATTTACTAAAATGTTGACGTGACGGCATTGAATAATTTGTAGAGATGACTACACGAGTTTTAGTTTTACGTTCTACATGATATTCCTAACATAAAATAAAAATTTAACAATCGGTCCAGTAGTATTGAAAATTATCTATTTAGTTAGTTGTGGATAATATTTGATCCTTTATATAGCTTACACATATCTGTTAAACGAAGAAGCGTACCTACATATTGAACAAAGGTCCAAAAAAAGGAAATTACAACCAAGAGACATCAATTGGATTTTCGTTGTTTTTTTTTTGTAAGAGAGAGATTGCAGTACTTAAATTAACAAAATGCAGGAATTTTGTCGTATTTTTAAAGTTACAAATAATTGTTAGGTAAATATGACTCAGTTAGAGGAAATTATTAGTTATAAACAGTTGTGGCCCAAATTAGATAGGATACAAATAAATTATGATTGTTTTTAAATGATTAACTTTTTATTTTAACATTATTTGACATCAAAACATTAAACATGTAGCAAATAATAATTTCATTTTTTCGTCACCGTATATCCGTCGTAACATCCAAAAATTCTTCAGCTTTGTCCTCCTTGTTGGCCTCCTTGTTGACCACTTGACTGACCCTGAGGATTTCCTTGAGAGCCTCCGTTCATACTTGGTGGAGAACCCCTTGGTGGTCCCCCAGATGAGGGTTGCTGCTGGGCAACGGCCACAGCGTTGTTATCAACCTAAATTTTCCAAAGTTTGAACAACGAAAATATTAGAAAACAAACACTTACCAGTACAGTTGCTAAGACCAGGAGAGCACAGATGACAGTAGTGTTTTTTATGTTGATTTCTGATGCACATTCGAAGCTG